ACATCACAACACAGTTTATTTGAAGATCTCAAATGATTTTGTTTCATAATGTTCATGTTACCTTCCAAGGGTAAACACTCTTGGTACACTGGTGCATCAGTGTATGAATCACAAACCATTAGAGCTTCTACTTCTTTTTACTCATTTTATTTTGCTGGGTTTTTTTTTTTAAAGGTTAATGTACATAGATACACAGTTCAAAGAACTTCAGATATTTTTAGAGAAATCAATATCCTTCTTGTGACTTTACAGCAGTGTTAGGGTTCATTTTTGTGTTTTTACTTAAAAAAAACCACCACTCACAGGAATTTTCCAGTGTTCATTTCTCAGTAAGTACTCAGATGTTCTTTATTTTAAAATATCAATTAAAGTCATTGTATATAATTTGTTGACAAACTGTTACTACTTACCCTTGATTGCTTTCCAAAAGGCTAGCTGTGGTCCTAGTAAATTTATATTTGGTTTTATGTTCTACATCTGCCTCAAAAAAAGAAATCTAAAAATCAATACCAGAACTCTGTATCTTCTTGCATAAATACCCCTTTAGCTTCCTTCATCACAGTCTATTTTACATTTCAAAATCTTGTCTTGCATATGCAACATCTTGTTTTACAAAAGGCACAGCAACAGCACCTTGATGAAGAGGTTTTCTACAAGCTACAGTTTAACTCAACAAAAAAAACAAAGTCGAGGTTTTGCTGTGTATTTGATGGCAAAATAACCCAAGTTTTCTTCAATAAAAGGAACTGTCTGCCACGATTTATCTGTACAATTCCATCACAGCTCTTGCCTGTTATTTTATGCTTTTCAAAAGTATGTCATTAAGCTGCCATAAAAGTCATGGCAAATTGTTTTTTCTCCCAAACTGATAATAGACTTATAGATCTAATTTTCAATCCCTTTTCTTCATTACTTTGATTCTTAAGGAGAGTATGACAATTTCTGTCTGAATACTTTGTAGTAATATCTGGCATCTCTACAGCCTGTCTGAGGATCTCTGAGCTTTTAATAGGTTTGTCTTTACAGCACCTTGAAATGCTGGCATATTTCTTTGTCTCTCGTGCAGAAATGGATAGCTAGAAGCAGACTTTAAAGAAATGGGGTTTATAATTTGTAGAGACTTCCAGAAAAGAAGACACAGAAGAGCCTTCTGTGCTGTCAGATGCTGTAATGTCATTAAAATCCTGACCTTTCACAGCTCAACAATAGCAAAGAGCAAAAGTGAGGCCTTCTGGTTTTCATTCCCATTTCTTTTTTAACTACACAAACTGTCCTCTTCACAAATCAAGAGAGTTCCTAAGTGTTACTGATGACAGAAATAACCAAGTAATTGAAAAAAAAACACAAATTAAAAATCATATTTTTGTTTATCATGGTGTTTTCTCTTTCTTTTTTGCTAGTGTACATATGAACATGATTTTGTCCACATAAGGCCTCACATGAACCATGTTTTGCTAATGAACTAAACTTATTTGAGACAAAATCTAGTAACAGGCTGGTTTAGAAAGTTGTTTGCAGGGTTAATGAAAGTAACATTGCACAGGTAGAGATCATAAGAGGAATGATGGAATATTAGGGTGAAGAGGGAAGAACCAAGAGTTGAAAGGGAGCTCTGAGGGCAAACCACACATCACACAGAAACCAGGGAGAGGAGCTGAAGAAACCCCAGAATGAGTCCCAGAGTCAATAGGTGTGGATCTGTAGCCCTGCCAGACCCATCTAGCAGACACTGCAAAGTGGCACAAATGGCCCATGTGGCAGAGCTGGAAAGACACCTCACAGCTGCTAAGACTATAAATTTTGAAAGCAATATAGATCATGGGGTTGGTGATCAAAGGATCTATAGAAAAAAGGAAGATTTCTTTTGCTTTGGACAATTTGCACTCTTGAGTAACTGTTCAGCTGCTGTATTCCTACCCAGAGATTAAGAGGATTTAAACTTAGATCCACTTTTTTGATACATCATGTGTTTGAACCATCAGGAAAATAAAGATGGGTAGACTGTAGAGTTGCTACTAAATACTAATAAATATATTTAGTTTCACTGGTTTGTACTTACAATCCCAGAACACTGGGCTTTTGCTACCATTAATTAATCAGAATTCTTATTAACATCTTTGGTGACTGCACCTTCTTTAGCCAACAAAAGCAGATTTTATTTTGTGCCCTCAGGCATGTGTCAGCTAAAAACCAGATCCTTCTAAGATTAACAAAAACATCTACCTTTTATCATCTCACTATTGAATTTTCCAACTGATATACAGCAAAATGCCCCACCCAGGTAGCTTCTAATGATGTAGTCTCTTCCTAAGCACTTGACCAAATAACTTAATCACACTGCCCCAGAAGAATAATATACAGATCTATTACACAAGTCTTTTCAGTGCTGGTCTTCAAACACTTCACAGTTACCATGATCCATCACTGCCAGCCCCAGAGCCATGATACTGCACAATGTTCTACCCAACCAGTTAATGACAGAGCTATAAATGGAACCCATGCCTCCTCAGCCCCAGGTGAGCACTACTTCTGCCATGCCACAGTGCCTGATACTCCTTTGAGAACATCCCAATTCCAACCCAACATTCAACAGTCACTTCTCCTTGGAGAAATCCTAAAATCCTCTATACTGTCCTGACACAGCTACCACAGCTCTCATCTGCTGTGTTTCAAGAAATCCAAAGGGGTCTTCAGAGCCCTTACTGAGGCTGTGCCTGTACTCCACAGCAGCAGGACACTTCTCAGACTAATTAGTTCATGTGGAGCTTCCACACTATATTGCTTCTGAGCAAGCTCATTTGTCTTCATATTCCATTATGCAGGGCAGATACACCCTCAGACAAATCAATTTCTCTAGGTAAGGGACACGTGCTTGAGGAGGTAAAAGCAGTTTAGGAGATATTATTATGACCAGATACTCTCAGAGTACCATCACTTATATTTCCTGTTGACTCCTAGGTTTAAATTCTTCATATATCAGAATGGATTTAAATTTAAATTGGAAAAAAAAGGCATTGTTCTGCTCATACCAGAAAGAAATATATCAGGAACAGCTTAGGTGAAATCTGGCAAGGAGAGATGTGAGGGTCCTTCTCTCCTAGCATGAGGGATGTGATGACTTAATTCTTCAGAAGAATAAGTCTGAATGACAGAGAAGTATCAAATTCCAAAATTATGTTTGCACTGGAAACTTTCTCAAGTTTGTCAATAAACTTGCCACACATTTTGTCTACCCTGAGCATGTTTAAAGGGTGTTTCTCTTTTGCATACCTTCCCAAAGCCTAAGAACTCTCAATTTCCAAGACCAAATTCTTGACTCACTCTGTCAGCAACTCTCTGTAAAAGTCACTAACAAACTTGAGCATTTTCACATCACTCCAACACCAGTTTGGTACCAAAGAATCAGATGTTCAAGCTTACTTTGTCACTGGTTGATATCATGACTTAACACAAGTCTTGCACAACAGAAAGTTTCCATTTTTTAGCTGGTATAAAATACACACCCCACCACCACCCCAGAAGAATACTACCATAAAAAAAATGAACTCTAAGAAATTCAACTACCTCTCACTCCTGCATGCAAATGTATTATTGCCTTCAACTAACCAGTCACACCTTTTTTTCCAGAGGATCTTCTCCTTGTCTAAGGATAGGCCAGAGAGTTCTCACACTGGACAAGCACCCATTCAACAATGGTGATGGCATCTTCACTGCTCACTGTGGCCTCTTTGTATAACTTGAGCACCTACACCCAGAACCATAACTAGAAAACTTCTCATTTCTCTGTTGATCATTATTATGTGCCCAAATTATTTCCTTATACTAATTATCCCACAGCACCTCCATCAGACAGTTTTGTGATCCTTGCTTTCAGGTAGCAAGGTGGGAGACAGGGATGTGCACCAGGATTGCCTGTAATTAGAGATGCTTGACTTGAGAGGCTTTGGGTCCCTCTTTGGAGGACAGAGCAATTAAGCAGCACTTTGTCAGCACAAAGCACAGCTTCAATCTCTTTCAGTGCTATCCTGTGTTTCCAAAGCTGACAGGAATCGGTCCCAGGGGTCTGAACTCAGAAAATGAGCAGTACACAACTAATAGCCATATTTTAAAACTGTGGTTGAAGTGATTCACCTCATGCAGAGGCTCTACAGCTGAATGAAGACTTTGCTCTAAGCCCCCAGAACAGCCCCAGCTTTAACACCAATCTCTTTTAGTGTCATTCTCCACCTTCCTCACCTACTGAGTCTCATCCACCTTCAGCAGTTATGAGGAAGCAGCAATAAAAGGAAACAACCTCATTAATTAGCATGCTTAATTTCCTAAACGCTGTCAAGCTGGGCTTCCCAAAACCAGCAAGAGTTCTATGAATAAAGAGACTGAAATTACATCAACACATGCCATTTTAAAGCAGAAATATAATATGACCCATTAGAGTTCACACAGATAGCTTCAATTCTGACATTTCCTACCTGTTGAGAACTTTGCATTGCTTCACTGCCAGAGAACTCCACATTTCTGGAATTTTTAGGGCCTCTTAAATAACAGTGTAACACTTAAATTAATGTTTCTGTCTCCATCACCTCACTTGTTACATTTGCAGCTTCAAGCCTCTTAATACTAAACACAACCCAACCAACCACTGCAAGGGCAGATCTTCACCACAAGGTCTGTGAGATAACCAGTACACAGCATACAAAAATGACACAGTTAGGAATGACACTGCAGCAACAAGCAAAGATCTCCTAACACAAATTTCCACCAGGAACTTTTCTATCACCTCAGAACACTGAGCTTCCTTCAGCTGGGCCAATGCCAGCAGATAACATATCACTATTTCCCTTGTTGGACACCAACAGAATAACCAAGCCTTCATTCTAGAGGTTTTACAAACCACAAGAGCCAGTGGTTTGTAAACCTTGCAGACAGTGTTTTGCCACACGAGTTCATCATAAATAAATCTTTGAATTTCTGTTTAAAAAAAAAGCATTTGAAAGCAAAACAAAACTTACCTCATTTCCACCAACAGCTTTGGTCAAAATTACTGCAGAAGACACAGGAGGTGGCATGCAGCCTACTGTCTGCAAGCTGCAAAGAACAAAAAGAAATGTTAATTCCCCACATGGTGCAAACAATATGCAATCTACAACTTGAAAATACCAAATAGCTGAGGAGAAAATCATCTTACAGCTTGCACAACCCCATCAGCTCGTGTCAGTTACAGCCCTGCACCTGCTGGCAGGATTTCTGTGCCACCTCTTACCAACCACCCCAGTGAAGAGTCACATCACCACTTAAAAACTCAAACATTTAACCTGAGACTCCACCTTCCCATCTGTCAGACTGTATCTCCCAGTCACAGAGACATCTAGACACCTATCACAAAGATAACTACATGATGAGTCCTAATGTTATAAAGTTTATAAAGTTTTGAGATACTTGTAGCTATTTGGAAATAGGAAAATAAGAATGTAAATTCCTATTTTTCTTGAAAAAAGCTGCTCAGTGGTACAAACATTTACTGCTAAGAGAAGACTTATAATGTTAAGGATAAGAACAATGTGCACTACTTCAGGCTCCCACTACACTTTGGTTTGTATCAACACCAACTTTAAAAAAAATATATATATAATAAGGAAGCTTTGTATTTCCTAAACATCCAAAGGCTATCAAATGTTTCATTTTTATGCATGTTTTCACTTCTTGGTAAAATCACCTGACTTCCACTAATCAATACATAAAGCAATTCTTTCCTGTATTTCAGAAGTCTAAGACACCCTGTATTATCTGTAATTTTTTTCCCACTGTTTGTGCAGCAAAATTAACACCACATATAGAAAATGCTGTTTCCAAGTCAGGAAAAAAAAAACAGTGAGCTTTCCATTGTTTCAAAGACACTCCACAAAAATTAGTTATTACAAAAATCAAATCAGAGTTCTATCAAATGTGTGTTTAGAAAGAACAACATACCACAGCAGATTACAATTAAATTTGGGGCTAAAATAGGGTTTCTGAAGAAAAACTGCTGACTTTGAAGGAACAGAGGAAGGCATGGAACAGAAACAGCCTGCAAAACCCTTAAAAGCATGGATTCTACATAGGTCAGAGGTTTGAGAGAGTATTTTAGTTCAGAACAATTACTAGCAGTGAATTACTCCACACTTGTAACTGTGTTAGTCCATCCCCAAGAAACAGTGTCAAAAAGCTGCAGCAAAGAGAAGAATGAAATCCAAACAAGAGGGAACACCTTAAAGTGCAGTTGATGTGCTGCAAATACCCAAAAAGCTTAAGGGGAAGAAACAGGTAAATGACAAGGATGATATTCAGTGTGTCAGCTACAGACACTGTGGAAAAGGAAAGAAGCAGCCAAGGTAAGCAGGAGGTAAATCTAATCTCAAAGTGCCCAGCCTTGCCTTGGCAGTAGAAGAGCACTTCCCAGCTTACACTGAAATAAGCTGTGGAAGCAGAGAGTTGTCAGCTTTTAGGAGGATAAACTCATATTGAAAAGAAAAATACAGGGAAAGGAAATGGTGTGGGAAAATTTGGAAATCCAGCCAGTGTGCTGCCCATCCCCTGTGCCAGGTGTGATCCTGTTATCCCTCTCCTGTGTGGCCTCTTGTCAGCCAGCTCCTCAACTTCTCACCTGCACTGATAAGGGGTGGATTAAGTTCAGTTATCCAGAGAGGGATGAACTATGTGCAAGAGCATTCATCTCAGCTGGCAGGGATTTTCCACACTATAAGGGAAAGGTTTAATAATACAATCTCTGTTGAGCCTCTCAAATTTAAAATAATACATTTGGAATTAAAAAAAAAGAAATAAAAATCACTCTCAGGCTATGGTTCACATGAAAATATTAATCCACCAAAAAAAAAGGCCACACTGAATGGAAATATTTTGCATCAGGTGTATTGAAACATCCACCTGGGAACTTTTTTCTTGCTTTGTATCCACTACACCCAACACTATCAAAATACAAACAAATTCAACAGATTGCTACAAGTAAAAACCAACCAACTGCAACATTGTGTTGGTTCAGGGGTGAAGAGCCACAAACAACACCCATGCTGCTGATACATCACACACAGCTGAGCAGTAGGGTCTGAAGTCAGGTATTTTGGATATGGAACTACCAAAGCTCTATCTTCTGCCAGAATTCTGCATCTCATTCCTTACCACCCATGCAGTAAATTCTATATGCCAAGAACAGAAGAGGTGGATCTGTTCAAGCATTAGTGACATGGTTCATCCTCTTTTTTCAAAAGGATGATTCTCTTCTATTTTATATAGTTCGCATTAGTGACATGGTTCATCCTCTTTTGCAAAAGGATGTTGTCAATGCAAAACCTAGCCAGCTAACAAAATATTAACTCCAAGGATGCTTGGGATGTTCTCAGCTTCTCCTCTATTTTATGTAGTTGAAAATAATTGCAAAGCAACAAACCTCCTAATACCATAAGAAAAAAAGACAACAGGCAACTGTAGAAACAGAGGAAAAGCTGGTACCATCCTCATCTGCCTCTCAAGTAAGAGTTACAGCAAAACAGACCACTACAGAGGATGGAGGAAACTACCATTCCTTCTGAAGCAAGCCAGGAAAACCTGTGGGCTTGACTGTGACATTTAGGGATAACCTTGTGTAGAGAGCAGTGGAAAACCACAGTCCCCAGGGCAGCCCCTGTGCCCTTGGCAGCACGTGGCTATTTTTCCAGGCCTTTGTGAGAGCTATCAGCTACCTCCCACTACAAACTGTGCCAAACATGCCTGATGAGGAAGCAGCTTGGTCAAAGCCTGTCTTGTTCCCACACGTTTTCATTAGGGGCCTTCAGTGTTTCTAGGGAATCACAACTACAGCTGTGGAGCCTTTGCTGCCCTTCTGGTGACACAGAGCAGCCAAGGCACAAGGCAGTTCCTCACACCAGCTCCTCATTCTCCCTTCACACACCCTATGGAGCACCTGCTTTCAAATGTGCTGTAAAATGAGGACAGAACTGAGTATCTCCTGCACCTGTCCAGCACTGAAGGTCCAGCTCCCACCAGGTTCCCCTTTGCAGGGGATGCCTTCACAGCCACACAAATGGCTGCTGCTCTCACCACCTCCTGAACAGCAGGATTTATCAAGAAAGCACTTTCAAAAACCAAAACCCACCTTTTTTTTTTTAAAAAAAAAGACTTCTATACTGTTCCATGTAGTTTCACAGGTCTGTATGTTTATACACACACACATACTCCTGCAGGGAACAGATTAATGTCCCTTAAATACTGAGAACCAAAGTGGTGGAAGAGTCATAAGAAGGAAGGAATGAGAAGTGCTGCAAGGAACAAACCCCACAAAATCTTGCATCTTGCACTTCAGAAACTGAGAATCCCATGGATTAGGAGGGAATTTTGGCTCACTGTGGAAAAATGATGTCTCTGTTCTAGCCAAGGGAAAACTTCACAGTGATTTAACTTTAAAGAGTAACCTTTACTATGAGTAGCCAAATGCAAATGGAAATCCTGTAGCAACCTGCTTATTTCTTTGATGCTAGGCAAAAGAGTGCTAACTTTTCAATGATGTTGTCTCAATTTCACCCTCTCAGTATCATTTGAACCACTTCACACTTAGTGCAACACCTGGAGAAGCCTCTTAAGAACAAAACATAATGGTCTTTTAGGTTTAGGCTTTGTAAAAACAAACATGAGCAGCTTTATCATTAAACTTTTAAGACATGGGACTCTCCCCAAGCAATAAGCAACAATGGGGATTCTTTAAGTAGTTTTCTAAAATAATCCATTTCTGCATGCAAGCATTCCAGTATAGCTGCAGGGTGCTAGGCACTGACCTTCAATTCTGAAAAAAAGCTTTTTATTTTGGGTTTTTTTCATAATATCTACCACTAATTTAGCTAGGAGCAGACACTGAACCCTAGTCTGCACACATGCAAAAGATGCTCAATACAGACTGCTTCAAAAACACAGCAGAACACCAGTATGTGGCACACACAGTATTTATACACCAACTTAGGTTTTTCCTCCAGCATTCCTTCTCTTTCCTCCCATTCTCCCTGAGAGCCAGCACAGCACTTCAGCTGTGTTTTGTCCAGGAGAAAGCTAACCTGTTGCAAGCTCCCTCCAAAAGAAACTAACTGATCAGACTTTATAAAAATGAGAACAGGTTCCCAAAAGGGTAACTTGTGCTGTACCATGTTTTCAACAGCAAAATGCTGAAGCACAAACACAACCAGCAAAATCTGTCCACAAGTCTTCAAACACCCCCTGCAAGATAAACAGCCCTTTAAGCAGACAGCTACAAATATATTTCACTCCATTATGCTTAAACATACCCTTTTAAAAGCCATTCATTTATAGGTGTGATTGATAATAGCTGAAGAAAGAGCCATATTGCTGTTGGGAAGAAGACAAGTGTAAAAATCTGGACAAAAAGGTGAAGTTTCACATGCATCAAAGCACTTGTCAGCTCCTGCAAAAGAAAAAGAAGAGAGGGAGTTGCATCATAACAGCTGAGGTAAGATCACATTTGTGCTTTTAAAACTAGGATCATCTTATAATACGAAGAGAGTGCATGTCAGAAAGGCACCTTTAGGGATCATCTGATCTCCTCTTTAATAATGAAGTACAGCCAGATGACATAAAAGCTCTGTCTGCTCCTGGGCATTTTTCCAAAAGCAGTGTCCAGCACTTCAGCTCTCACAAGGGCAGCTTTTCAGCAGGCAGCTCAGCACTTTGTCACTGCTTCAAAACCTCTGTTAACTATGCTGGAGGGCTGTTTGCTGACTGCTGATACCAAGAGGAGGGGACACTTGGATCCGTGGGATTTCAGGTTTCTCTGCTCTAAAGAGAGCTGCAAACTGATTCTCATTTAGACCATGAAAAGGGGATGTTCATGTTATAAACAGACATCATTTGTAGTGTGTTTTAAGGAAAAAATAACAATAAAAAGCCAAGCAAAATGTTTTTATCAGATTTTGATTATTTTATCACAGGAAATTCACAGAATAAAACTTAGGCTGACTAAGAATAGCAAAGAAAGGATGCCAAGAGACCATGAAAAGGGGATGTTCATGTTATAAACAGACATCATTTGTAGTGTGTTTTAAGGAAAAAATAACAATAAAAACCCAAGCAAAATGTTTTTATCATATTTTGATTATTTTATCAACAGGAAATTCACAGACTAAAACTTAGGCTGACAAAGAAAGAATGCCAAGACCTTAACAGCCTAAGAGCAGCTAAGTTATAAGATTCAGAGAAATAAACTGAAAAACAACACTGTGCACTGAGAAAACAAAACAAAATATTCTAATAGTGTAAGAGCACTCCAGAGAGGAGATCAAGTATCCTCACTATGCAATAAACCCTCCAGGTAGCTCTGTGTCTGTTTCTTTTTGGACACCCCAAGGATCTTCTACACAGTTTTTGAGTACAAGGAAAAAGCATTAAAAGAAAAAGATTGAGAAGGAAAATTCCTTTTCCTCTTTTTTTTTCTTTCCAGGTAAACAATGCAGAGGGAATAGAACTGATGGCACTTTTATTCAAAAATCTAATTTGCTAGAATTCTGACACTCAAGTGCATTAAAGAACAACATAAAGTGTATTTCCATGTACAGCAATGCAGCAGCTAATCTTCAAATGCCACTTTATCTCAGCTTCAAAACAGTTGAACCTTTAAGAAACTGAATCAAATGCTGCATTTTCAACCATCCAAATGCATGCTCATGGAATTACACATCTGGGAGTGCCAGCAATTCATCATCATGTCCTTATTACTTTATTCCTCTTAATAAAATTATCTCCAAAATCTGAGTTAGGGGGAAAAAAAAAGACTTCCACAAAAAAAAATACACATCCATTCAGATCCTATTCTTAAAGTTCTACAAAGCATCAACTTGAAACATACCTCTTGATCTAGTTTTATCAAGAAAATACTGTGACAGTGCTTGGTTAGCTGAATAAAATACAGTTTTTTTCAAATAAGGTAAGCTCTTAAGTAGTCTAGTAACACTCTACCTGAAAAAATAGACCCTCTTCATATACAGCATGTCACAGTACCTATAGCATTACAAATAGCTTCACCATAGTATTATTTCATCTTATCTCAAAGAAAAAGCAAAAATAAAATGTCTAGGAGTTGAAACACATCCTCTGAGGGATGAAAAGATATGTGGAGATACCTAGATAACAGTGCACATCTTAAAAAGCAAATAACACAGCTGAGAAAAACCAAAGCAAGGGATTTCTTTCAGTGTAGCCACTAATTCCTCCTCTTCTCCTGCCCAGCCCCAGATTTCCTAGTGGGTCAAATCCATGAAGGACAGTCCCAGTCCAGGCACCATCACACATACAGAAGAGCCCCTTTAATACTTTTACAGTTGGAAGACACCTTAAAAACATGACTCAAGGAAAACTTCAGGATACTTTCACAAGGAAAAATCTAAGATAAAAACTTGGAAAGTCTGGTTAGAGCTTCCAGGGAGCAAGGAAGGGAATTACAACATAGCCAACCTAGAATGCTCTATTAGAGGAACAGGTTTTTGCAGTTCTAAATTACCAGTCTTTAAAATGTCTCTAGTGATTGCCTGTTAGAATAGTTATTGCTTAGACTGTATCAAAACAGAACAAACCCTGAGGCAAACAGGTTCACCCCCTTCAGCCCTCTGCAAGGGCTTTTGTCCCAAATACATCTGTCACTACAGACCACAGAGAAGCAGAAGCCTCAGAGAAGTTCCTGGAAGGTGCCACTCACAATTCTGTTCCTGCACAACAGGTAGAACAGGTTACCTTGTCCTCCCCAGTACTTCACACCTTTCAGAGAGCTTATCCTGCCTCTCCTTGGTCAGTGAAAGTCCCTGTTGCCATCCAGCCACGGTGAGATGGTCACAGCTAGGCTGCTCTGGGAAAATACCCACACAGAGCAAACAGTGTTTTCAGCAGCTTGCCAAATTCCTCATTGCAATGGATAACTCAAGGATGTGATTTAATTCCTGGGGCCCTACAGGCAGTATTTGCTTTACAGGAGCAAGCTATCCAGTCAGTGAAAACTGAAAGCGTGTTCTATTAAGGTGGAATGAAATGTTCTTGTCATTCCTGGACACAGACTATTTCTACACATATAAAGAGGACCTCAGTCACCTCCAGATTTTTTTAAAGCATAACAAGACCATGCACAGAGAGGTTCTCCATGAACATTGCCAATTAGTTTGTAAAATGCTTTCTGAATGCAGGTTAGCAAATGTTTTTGAGGGTGTGCTTTCACAGCAGATAAAACCAGAAGCACAACCTTAAAAGAGGAGCAGCTATTTCTCATTTTGTCAGATTTACCTGGTCTCCATTAACTTATACAACATTTTATCATTTCATAAAGCATGCTAAACACTAATTTCAATCTAAACTAGTATATTATCCAAGGTAGAGCAGCTGAAACAGGTCAAGAATGAATGAAAAGTAGGAACTATTTACTTTGCAATCCAATAAAAAAATATATTCACTGACTAATACCAACTTCAGCTTGTGCCTTAAACAAAACATGCCCCAAAGACCTGGCCTTCATTTAAGGATTGGTTTTAACAAGCATATCTTGTCCTATTACTTTCTAAAACAATGAGAGGAATGGTTTTCTTCCCCCTTATCTCCTGCCCTCCCAGCAGAAATGCAGAAAAAGCTTTCTTTCAGGATGGAACAAAGCTGGATGTAGAGCAGCAGACTGATGCTTCCAAATAATCTGAGATCAGCTACCTGGACATAAACTTCAGCTCCTGTAAAAGCTTCATTTACATCAGTATATTGTTCTTAGAACCACAGCTGATAAAAAAAATGTTATGTAAATTCAAAGCAGAAGATGACAGATTGCTTAACAAGGTGTCAGTCATGTCACCTCACCTGGAAAAAGCTGCATGTTCATTAGCTCTGACAATCTAATCAAGACTTTGATAATGCCACTGATTTCACTCCATTGGTGCTACTCAGGCTTTGTTCTGGGTCCTCTTCTCTGTAGAGGAGAGTGCCTCTCTGCAGATCATTTCCATTAGGATCACTTTCTGTCCCAGGCAAACAGATAACATGCTTCTCCCTGCTTCCCTCTAAGAGCACAAGGCTCTAAACAGCTGCTACAGGACTCACTGAACTTCTTCACTTCACTTCTGTTGTGTCCTGGCAGAACTGGAGGCCAGAACTGCCAGCAGACACAGGAGTTGGCTGCCATCAACTCAACCACCACCCCTGTTTGAGACTTTTATCACTAGAATCATGACACAAGTACAGAAACTTTGTTTTGTTGAATGCACACTGCTCATCCAAATCCCAGTTTGCCCAGAAGATAACTGGCCAATGCCATGATGACTCTTTCAGGCATTAGTATCATCCCCTGTGAGCAGAGCCAACAGCAGGAAAGCAATCAAGAAGCTAGAGAGATGCTGTTTCACCTCAACTCTGGCTGCTCCCTCTCCTCTTGGCTTGTAGCCCTCATTCCCTTCCTCCATGCCCCCTTCACACAGCACTGAGACATCCTCCCCTTCATCTCCTCCTGCTCCTAGATGGTTCCTCTTTGAAAAATGTGTGACAGTTGGAAACAAGCTTTGGTGTCTGTGATGTGTGACAGAACACAGGCTCTTCTAGTCCACCTGTCCACAACCAAGTCCTACAGATCACCCAGACTTGGTACTTGCATCTGCAGAGGAACCTTTCTGTGTTGACCCCAGCTGTTGTCCTGTGCCTGCTCATGTGGTAGCTTAAAGCCACCAGATCTTTGCTTGGGTGAA